CAACCAGAAAAATTGTTACCTATTTCCCTGTACTAGGAATCTGTTTCATCTATTATTGTTAAAGGAAGTGTCTCAAGCAATGACTCTTTGGGTTAACTAACCATTCCTTGCTTCCTGTAATAGCTCAGACACTCTACCGGGTTAAGTTCTTAAATACCAGCATAGGCTTGGTGTGAGATACTAAGACAAAACTTAGACAATCTAAAGGCATTACATCACATCTTATTTAATAGATCACATCAGCGGCAACTTTCCTCCATGCTCGCTGCCTCTGTGACTGCTCTATGAGACCTAACACTTCCACTTTCTTGAAATGTCCCCCACAGTCAGCAGCAGCTCTGAAAATCCCTGCCCTGAATTCTCCCTCTCAGTCCAAATCCACTGTGGGCTCATCTGTATTCCAAAAGAACTTTGTTTTCTTTTTCTTCCCTTCTCTCAATCCTTTTAATCCTGTAGTTCAAGCAATTAACTCTACAAATATTAGCTGCAATCAAGGTCTAGCACATGTGGTAATTTTCCCTCTAATAAATCAATCAATTCTTTCCATGGAGTGTTTCTCCCCCTTACAGTCATTAGAGAATTACAATGCTACTTGAGGATCACCAGCAACTTGAATTAGTTAAGGAACGTCAATCAAATTTGCCAGATTTTGCTTCAAAGATGAGAAAAATGGGACGGATTTACGAAGCCCTCTTGCCTTAGAATAGGAAGCTTGATAGATCCCCATTGAATCTCTGTTAGAGAGGCCTTGGAATATATGATCCATTTGGAGGAAAATCAAAATCAGTACTACCAGTGACAAATCAGACAAAATGTAGAACTTCTTATTAAATAACCTGAAAATTAATAATTAGAATAATCAACCATGCAGTATCCCTAGGCAATATAATCTGTAATAGCTAATAGGTTACTATAACAAAGAAAAGAGACAAATACTCTGGCAAATGGACAAAGTTTAGTTTCATAATTTACAATTTGTATATACTTTAATTTTTTGGTATATGTTTGCAATACATACTATTTACATTGGTTTGGGGGTATTAGTGTACACACACACATAAAATATGCCCCCTGATATTTAGTTAGAGGGCACTACGGGATCCAAACACTGCTTCTGAGAGCTTATCTTAGAGTTTGAAACAGGGAGCAAGGAGTACAGGACCCAGCGAGAGACCATCTACCCATTCCAGTACAGCAGCTCAATTTTTGTCTCTTATTTCACCTAAGCTTCTGTTGAGGAAGTGGGGTTTCTTTTGCTTTAAAATTATTTGAGAATCACTTATGTGGCACAGACCACTATTTTCATAAATGCATAAAATGAATGCCAGAAAAATGGAAGAATTTTTGATTGAGTGGCAGACCCCAAAACAGACCCTGTATCTCATCTTTTCCACCCCATGCCATACCATGCTATTACACTTGGGAAGCAATGTCAGGTGAGAATTCAGCTGCCTTTAATTTGAGCCTTTTTTTTTTTGGCTTTTGTTTTCAAATGGCCATAAGGGAAAAAAATTTCAGCCAAATTAGCACGAGAAGAGGCTAGAATGCTACATTAGAAACAAAAACAGAGTCTGCAATTGTGCTCCTTTCTCTGTAGTCTCTCTAGTCACTCTGGAAAATTATATCATTATCTAGTACCTGAGACGGGTTACAGGGGAGAGGGGGAGGCCTAGTTCCATTTTCTTATGTCACCAAATGTATTCCTATTAAGATTGAAAGAAGTAAAGATTTCAGTAGGATACTTGGTGAAAACTTGCTGACATTAATGACTCAAATTCTCAGAGAGACTGCAAGGAAAATGGTGTCATCACTGTCATTCAAGCCTTTTAAGATGAAATTTCAAAAGAAGTTTGTCAGGCATAATGACTGCCAGGTTCTATTATATCAGCCTCAGAGGGTGGATCACACACTACTATGCGGCCTGTGGGCGGCTGACGTTGGATTTTGAAAGGAAGCTGCACAGAGAAGAGGTGATGTAGGCGTAGGACCCAAGCGGGGCTGCCTCACATGATCGGGACACATCACTGCTGACATTCGCATGGTAATTTGGGGGCAAATCTGTGAGCCAAGGGCTGGTCTTCAATCTTGGATATGCTGAAACCTAACCCAGGAGGACATTTAGAGGAGATCATGCTCTTAGTGCTGAACAACTTCAAGGAAGTTTGAGCTATTAATGCTCATGCTATGAGAATACTCCTCTCTGGTGACTGAGATATTTGTACTGAATGCATCCCAGCAATGAAATACCTGCAAAGCCTAGATAGTAATCAGCAGACAGCTACATGAGGACTGTGTAAGAGCAGTGGTTTTCAACTTTGCTGCACACTGCAATCATCGGGGGTGCTTCAATGCTAAAGCCACACTCTAAACTCAAATGTATCTGACTCTCAGGGATGAGGATGCAAACATCAGTATTTTTTAAATCTCAAGTGATTCCAATGAGCAGCCAAAGCTAAGAACCACTGGGTTAGAGCAAAAGGCAAGGCTTAGACAAGTTTTCAAGTTGCCAAGTAAGGACATTAAAGATTCAGCTACCATTATTTCATTAAAGAAAGGAAATTTTAACAAGCATTAGAAAGGACATAACTCCAAGACACAAGACTATGTTGTATTTATTTTTCTTATGTCTCTATAGACCAGTGATCACTTCACTACAGATTAATGCAAACCTAAGAATTGATGTGATCAAATTGCTTTCTACATTCATAGTCAAAGCTTTCCTCCTTGGACAGCTTTAGACACACTTGACTGAGCTTTAGTTAATTAAACTACTGTCCTGTGCTAACTACTCCTCTCTTGCCATAGCCTTTCTGTAGAGGTATTAACACTATAAAGTTGTAATTTTTGTTCCTTGACTTTAGAAATGTTCTGTCTTTTCCAATTACCAAATATGTTGATTTAATACATTTAACTCTTCTCAGACATCTTGAACTAAGGTTTCTAAAGTGGGTGGGACATGTATATACCTAGATAAGTAAGTATTGGGGGTACTGGTGCCATCTTGTTTTATTATGATGACTATTACTCTAAATCCAAGGGAGAAATCACAGGATTGCTAAATAATCTGAGTTGTGTTGTTTTTATGTGTGTCGAGTTACAGAGAAAATTAGTCTTGAAATAAAAAGACGTACTTTAAAGCTTATTTTGAGTGCCTCTTTGGAATCTATCTGCCCATTTCTTCTGTGACCATGGTTTATGTTGCTTTTCTCCTCACCTTAAGGTACATTGGTATTGGCATTCTTGAATCAGTTCTCAATTAGCTGTCTATTCTTAACAAGTCAGGCATTACAAACTACTAAAAGAGTTACTCACCTTTACTCCAATACTACCTCAAAGTTTCCTTCCACATGTGTATGAGATAGAGGCTCACTTATACTTGACAATGGTGTGAAATAAATCTTCATTTATTAATTTCTTCTAAGCCAATATGCTTAGGGGTAGATCAGGAGAATAGTAGCTAGAATAAATATGTGCTTTGGGCCAACTGGGAAAGTTCTATTTGCAGATGTCTGCGTTCTACAGAAACCCAGGATATATAACTAATATCAGCTACTCGGTCCTTACTACTACTCCCAGTCCAACTCAACTAAAACTGAAATGCTTGCTGTCTTTTCAAGGTTAGGGGTTTTGCTTAGAGTAGCACATAAACCTCAGATTTCCAAGACCTTTATTTGACTCCCAGTGCCCTCTCCTTTTCAGCAAGTTGCCTGATCTTTCTGGTCTCAGTTTCCATATCTATAAAATGAGAATATAATCATCTTGTAACATCACTTCATATAATTATAAGAATTAAATAACATAATTCAAGTGAAATACTTAGCAAAGACCCAGACATATTAAATACTTACTAAAAATTAACTTTGTAGGTCAGAGCTCAGCACAATACCATGGCATTCAGTAGCTGTTCAGTGAATAATCACATACACACTTCTATTTACAGAAGGAGGAATTTCATGGGACATGCAAAATAAAGAAGCTGTCACTGAATTCTGAGCTTTAGCTTTCAGGTCTTTACAATTTAAACAAACCCATTTTGTTACATAATTTTGCCCATGACTTTGTCTTTTGTCTCCCTAAAAGCTAATCTTCCTTGCCCTTCTATGCTGAATTCTTTCTGACCACAATCCCTTTCCATTAAAATGCCCTTGTCTTTATAGATTCTGGTACTTATTAGACCCAGAGCCACATTCTCTTTCTGTCATACTGAAGCAGCCTAATGCTTTCAAGGAAAGCACTTAGAAATCCATGTATTTGCACCTGCATCTCCGTATTTTCAAATTCTGCCAAGAAGAATTTGAATCACATCCTCACATCCACATCACTTCTGAGCCGTGGATCTGAGAGATGGAGGTAGGAGGACAAGTCCCTGTGTTACTCTGGGATGCTTCATATCCATGCAGGACCCAATGCAGTGAAATATTTTTATCCTGCTATAATTAAAAAATTGCAAACTCAATTAATTAATATTTTGCAACTTCTTTCTACCTCTGCCAAAGCTCCTCTTTTTCCCCCTCCAGAAACAAAAACAAACTAAAAACACATCAAGAGATGAGCTTCTCGAGTTGCTTAAAATTTATCGTAAGAGTCAAGCCTGTTTCTGAAAGTTTCAACTTACCCAATCAGACAACAGGCTGAGGAAGGGAGACATTTATCAAGTTACAGGGAGGACTCCATCTGTTATCCTAGACCTTTGTTACAAAGTGACACAAGAGGACATACTCTAAGGTAGTTTGAGTTTTATTTTACAGATTCTTAGTTCAAAGATTTCAATTTAGAGAGAAGAAGCAGGACAAGAGGAGAGAAGCCAAATATGAGTGATGAAGAAAACTTCATAGACTGACATTCAACCCAGCGAGAACCACCATCTATGGTGAAGTTGCCTTTTCAGCTGGCATCTGTCTCTTCGCTTTATAATAAATGTAGTCAAAGAGGCAGTTTCTTCTTGATGTGCACAAAGGTCTTGCTTTTGAACTGCACCCTCATAACAGCTGTTTCTTAACATGCCAAACCAACAGAAGAAAATCATTTTTTGCATGGCTGGGGTGTTAAGCTTTGTGTGTGCTCTCGGAGTTGTGACAGCTCTGGGGACACCATTGTGGATTAAAGCCACCATCCTCTGCAAAACAGGGGCTCTGCTTGTCAATGCCTCAGGACAGGAGCTGGACAAGTTCATGGGAGAGATGCAGTATGGGCTTTTCCACGGAGAGGGTGTAAGGCAGTGCGGGTTAGGAGCAAGGCCCTTTCGGTTCTCATGTAAGTAACAATTGTATTTGAATTATTGAATACTTTGGAACACTCGTCCAACTGTTGCAAGGAATTATGTTGAGGGTCTACCTGTTTATTGCAGGACTTTTTAAACTGGTGTGAACCATTTGAAATACCTAAGACCCAGAGTAATTTCTTCTTTCTAGTTTTTATTGTTTTATTTTTATTTTATTAATTTTTCATTCTTGCTATTTGTATTACAACAACACATAGTTCATTGGTTGTTATTTAACTAAAGATTTTGAAAACATAAGCAATTAAGAACCTCAAATGTCACTCTTCATGTAGGAAATTATGGAGTCTTTTTTTTTTAAGGGAACTTAGGGAAATATGAAAGCTGTAAGAAATGCTCTTTGTGCCTTTTGTTCTTTAATAAAGGACCGGTGTCATGAGCTAATTCTTAGCTAATGCTACCTGCTTTTCTTCCTCACCCATGGCCCATGTTTCTTGTCCTTCACCCTCTTTATCCCTGCCAGGACCTTTGGTGCTGATAATCTGTTTTCATTTTTAACCAATTTAAAGTAACTTGACTATAGAAATTTTAAATGTTTTGGGATAATGGGGAAAGAATTAGATGCATATTTATTATAGAAAATCTGCAACTGATTGACCTTCAAATCATGTAGAGACTGAGACAGATTTTCCTGTCATGATTTTTGTGAAATAGAAGTGTTATCCACAGTATTTATAACCTGTTTATCTTAAGAAGAGAATTTTTTAAAAATTACCATGTGAATAGGAAACTCATTAAATGAAAATTAATAAGAAGTCATTTGTTATATCTCTCATAACACACATTCAGAAGTTATTATTATTTCAGAAGGGCTGGTTTGGAACAATCTTATGAAGACACAGTCAGTAAATTACTGCATAAATCACTCTTCAGGAAAGGAGGTTACCAATTGAGGCATTTAAAATGAATTATTATTTTGCCTGAGTTTCTTTTCTCCTCTAGTATAGGTAGAAGGTGAAATTAATTGAATTTATTATTAACATATGCAGCATCTAATTAAATTTCAGTGCTGGTCTATTTGTATTTCTGCAACATTCCTTATATCTTCTTAGTAGTCACTGGGCACCAGCCTTCAATTCACAGATGTTGTAAATTAATATGAATTTTCATAGGGTTCTAGAGAATCCCCAAGAATTAGTCTTCAGCTTTTCAAGGAATTATCATCAAGTAGATTTCATGAAGTGGATACCAACTCTTTTCACTGAATGCGTGTAGTTCATTAAGATGTTGGGGGCTGTTAGAGCTGCTCAGCTTTCCTTAGTGGAGGCAGGAGAACAAAACAGAATGTTATGTGGTCTGCAAGTGTAGTGAAAAATAGAAAAAGGAAAAATAAGGATGAGTGAAATGATTTAATCATGACAGCATGAGTAAAGCTTCTCAGAGATGAATTTAAACAAAAGTGTAAGTATACAGTGAATACTCAGAAGCCTGTGTATTTACCACAGTGAAATGGAGATAAACTTAACTCATGTCATAGAACATGTTTCAAAACAGTAACAAGATGTTTCTGAACACTTACTACACACTAGGCACTTTATGTACTTCATTTTATTCAGTCTTCATGGGGCCACATTCTTTCCTCTTGCAGTTCAGTGAATAATTTTTGTGCCTGTTTCCTCCTGTGCTGGGTCTATCTTTGAAGAAGTCCTTCCAATCAAGTGCCCCTCTTGCTTTCTGTGAGGACTAGCAGAGTTGGTGGGGCTAAAACAACATGCTCACCTACCTCCTAGAATTAATTAGCCTCCATAATACCCCAAACACTTCTCCCCAACCTCGTGAAGAAAACTTAATTCACTTGTTTGTTCTATGGTGATAAGCATCTATCTATATGTACCACAGACTACACATACTAAGTATTCTCTATATACTACATGTAAGTATTCATATTAAAATCTCATTCATTTTGGTGAGATCCAGAGAAGTGTACTAATAATATAACTTTTTTTTCTGCCTAAGCATAGAAGTATCTCTTTCAATGAGACATAAAATGCTGGAGAAACTCGAGAATAAACAGATCTAATGGACTCCCCAAAGAGCATAAGGTTCATCTAAATAAATATCCCTCTCAATATTAAAACTTCCTAGTCAACATGCCATTGGGATATATGGCACTCTTGAAGTTTATAGTCCCATTGCAATGTATGTTTGGGGTTCACATTTTCTCATTCCAAATACCGTGATGCTATTAATGATGTTTCATCAATGTATCATTGAAGTAGGAGTCCTCTGATATTCTTCCAGATAAAAGAGTATAAATCCTTTTAATATAAAAGAATAAGAGGCTTAACTGCCTTCTCAGTAATAGCTTTCTTTGAGAAAGCTCTTTAAGAGCCTCCAGAGAACACAGGCAGATGATTCCTTTCCCTTTCTTCCAGAGACCAACTTATGATTAGAGCACAACTCATTTCCCAGAACCATCCCCTTTTTCATTGTTCCTCTCCAAAGTTATTAAGCAAATATTTGGATTTGCAGAAACTTTCCGGTGTGGGAGGAATGGAAAAGGTAACATCAAAATACCAATTGCTTTATGGCTGTGTGTGTGTGTGTGTGTGTGTGTTATTATCATCAATTAATATGAATTTCAATTCTGTTGCATTACTAAATTCTATTTTGCTTATCCAAACTTTTCATTTAGGCCGGGACTGGACAACAGAAATACAATGCAAAGCCAGGTGTATTGGCACACGCCATTAATCCCAACACTCAGGAGACTGAGGCAGGAGGATTGCCATGGGTTCGAGGCTAGCCTGGACTACATAGCGAGACCCTGTCTCGAAAAAAAGAAATACAATTCAAGCCATGAATGCAAAGCACTTATGTAATTTAAAATGTTCTAGTAACCACATTAAAAAAAAAGCAAAAATAAACAGGTTAAATTAATGATATATTTTCTTTAACCTGAAACCCAGAATATTATCATTTTTAACATGTAATCAATATAAAAGTTATTGAGATATTTCAAATTCTCTTGTTTTACTTAGTGCTTTGAAATTGTGTTGTTTTATACTTATAGCATGCTTAATGCAGGGTAGCCATATTTCAGGTGCCCATTTTAATGGCTACTGGATTAGACAGTACAGATTTAGAGGGAGATTCACTCTGAATAAATTGGCCATTGATGGTGTCCATATTCTAAATGACTTTTTAGTGGCTCTGCTTTACAAGTCTATGTGTGTTATTTTTATGTGCAATGTTCGTGTCACTTTTAAAACCTAGATATATGGCACAACCTGAGAATGAGGACTGCACCAGAAGAAAAGTTTGACAATGTAGTCATGTTTGTTCCTATTAAATGTTCCCAATTGATCACTCCATATCTTTTAATTATAACAAGAATCTGCTCTGCTAGCATGCACAGTTATGCTGGGAAAACTTCTGCCTCATTTACTCTTGTGGATTCTCATGCAGTTATGGGTCAGTGGTTCATTTTCTAGAGGTCACAGCATTCGTACCTAGCACACAATTTCATTCATTATAATGAAGAAAGATTTTCCTTTCAAGGCAACACAACTGGTGGGCTTAATTTTTCCTGATATATCACCTGTAAGATTTTAATGATGATGTTTAAACTCTAAATGTAGTCAATAAGACAAAAACTGCTAGTTCTGAGCTCAGAGAATGTGGGTGGATTTCTGTTTTGGTGGTTTGAAACATTTCAGAACATATCAAAATATGTTACCAAGAATCATATGGTATCAATCATTCCTAGATATACTGATATAGTCATTGCCAAGGCAGTTCAATGAACTGGTAAAACACATGGAATCCTTTTTTTTTAAATGTGAAAAAATAAATTTTAAATAGTCGTGTATCACAGCTTGTAACTTTAGTCATACTTTGTAAAGCATTTGCATTTGGACCTTACCATTGAAAATTTGTAAAAAGCTTAACAGAGATTTAGCTCACTTCATATTTTAGAAAAGTAGAGTTTCTTTACCAAATGAGGCGTATGACCTAGATTGCAGAGAGGATGATGAAACTACTTCTGTGAACAAGAAGGTGCCTTCTTGAACATATTTGGAATAGAGCACTGCAGTTGGACCCAGGATCTCTGTGACCCAGGGTCACTGTGACTTGGCACCCTCCATCTTCATGGTCTCTTTCAACTCTACCTCTTGTCCCCCGCTGACCTGATATGCCCCAGGGGACCCACTTATCACCATCCTGCACATCCTGCATTTCTGCTATGGCCTGGCCCATGGTAGAGCAGCAAAGGGCTTTGCTGTCCCTACCCTTCCTTAAAGTAGAGTGTGTTAGTTACTTTTCTCTCATTGCTGAGAGAAAATACCCGACACCCCAAATTAGAGAGGAAAGGGTTTATTTGGCTTACAGTTTGTAGAGGTTTCATTTCATAATTGGCTGGCTTCAAGGTAGAGTGGCAGAGAGGCATCACAGAGGAGAAACAGTTCATAGCACCCACACGATAGCCAAACCAACAAGGGACCTTAACAGTGTCGTTCTGCTCCTTTTATCTTATTCAGACTACTGGGATCAGGGCAGTGCCAAACCAATCACTAGCACCACACACTCTGGACCACCTCTGACTGCACGAGGCTTCAAAAGGACATCTAGACCCAAACCATAACATAGGGCCTATGTGGAAGCAGGCATGGTGGGGGAGAAAGTTGTAGGGAGGTTACGGAGTTGACCTTGGAAGTCTATCTGATAGGAGAAAAGAGAAGGAAGCCACTTTTATCTAGCCAGAGTATGCCTTCTACCTTTTCACTTAGGGGCCCTATTGTTAGTCTCTTCACCTATGAAAAAAGTCTATCATATAGTCTATCATTCCTCATTGCAACAAATGCAATTAATGGAATGGAAGATAGTAATGTGTGAGAAGGAATAACCTTCAAATTCTCTCAGCCAAGTATGAGTCTGTCCTTCCTAGATCTTGAAGTCCTCTCCATTATTTCAAAACACTTCTAAGTATTTGAGAATGTGTATTTCTTCTCTGCAAGAACATCCTAATCCTCAA